ATATTATGTGAGTAGAAAACATTGTTCCAAGTGTGAATTTTAGCAATCATGAGCTGATTTTTAAAGCCCTATGCTATCTTGAGGTTGTTGTTTTTAATTAACAAGATCCTGAAGAAGCTCAACTTGAAAAACATTGTAACCTAACCTGGTTTGGATTGATCTCCATATGAAAAAGCTCTAACTTTGAAGGAGCGTCTGGGGTCTGGGTAAGGCTTGTTTGTTTAGGACAACACTAATGCTCAGTTTGAACAATAAAAGATCTGAAGACTGATTTTCTCTTCTTGTAGAACGTTCTAGCTTCTCAAAAATAGACATCTTTACTTTTAAAAAGTAGCTTTAATGAGATATTTCATGCTATAAAGTCTATTTATTTATTGTGGGACTGGAATTTGAACTCGGCTTCATGCTTGCAAAGCGGGCACTCTACCTCCAGTGTATTTTGGAGATAGGGTCTTGCAAACTGTTTGCCTGGGCTGGCCTTGAACCATATCCTTCCAAGTTGCTAGGATTATAGGTGTGAACCACCAAGTTCATTTATTTAAACCATACAATTCAGTGAGTAGTTGTGTGTTTTCAGAGTGTGTAACTGTCATCATAAGCTAATTTTTAGAACATTTCCATCGTCCTAACAAGAAACTCTGTAGTAGTCATTCTCTAGGCAACCCCTAATCTGTTTTTCTTTCTCCCTATAGTTGCCTATTCTGGACATTTTATATACATGAAGTCACAACAATATGTGTAAAATTCATTTTAAAGTTTACAGTGTCTGTTTAGCTTGCCTGATAAATTTGCTTAATTCTTAATTCATACTTGTATCTTCCTGTAATTTAATACATATACATAGTATATGCCAAATAAACAATTTGTAGAATTATGTTTTTTTTTTTTTTTCTTTTGTAGTACTGGGGCTTAAATTCAGGGCCTGCACCTTGAGCCACTCCACCAGCCCCCTTTTTTCTTTTCTTTTCTTTTTTTTTTTTTTTTGAAGGTTTTTTGAGTTAGGGTCTCATGAACTATTTGCCTGGGCTGACTTCGAACCGATCCTCCTGATCTCTGCCTCCTAAGTAGCTAGGATTACAGGCATGACCCACTAGCACCTCACCTATGTGGGTGTTTTAGGGACATTAAAAGGTATTTTTTGTTGATATTGTTCCAGTGTCTGAATTTTATTTGCCTTTCTTATTTCCAGATTTGTTTTCCCAAATGTTTGCTTTTGTTTTGTTTTTTGAGACAGGGTCTCACTATGTATGTAGTTTAGGCTGGCCTTGAATTTGCTGTGTTGTAGCAGAGGCTGGCCTGGAGCTTGTCATCCTTTTGCCTCTGCCTTCCCAAATGCTGGGATTATAGGCATGTATCACCATGCCTGCCTGAAATATTTTTTAGCTGAGTAGTGTTTATACTTAAATTGTTGATGGAAAGTTGTTATTGTAAGCCCTCTTTATTCCTACAAAGAATAAAGTCAAAAGTTTACTGAAAAGAAAATTAAGCACATTAGGAGATTATCAGATATATCATAATACTTCAGTTCTCCTTTAGACTTTACCTCACTGTATAATCTCTACCATCCTAATTAAGGGACTCTGCCTTCCTAGTAGTATCAGTTGTGTTTATATCTGCCATGGTATGTATACTGCTTCCAGTAGTCACAGACAACACAGATAGCAGACAGAATGGTAAATTAGTATACATCCCTTTAGTCAGAATCTCCTTAGTGTATATAACATTGGGTCTGTGGGCGCCCTGTTTTGTCCATGATAAAAGGCAGAAAAATGTTCATTGTCTTTTTGGCTTTTCTCTTCCTGTGCCTTCCCCACTTGTTATATACTTTACATTTGATATAAAGGAGATAAATATCCAAGATTCCTAGGTAAATGTTAGATACATGTATAATGAACTTAAAAAAATTTATTCTTGAGGTAAGGTCTTGCTGTGTAGCCCAGGCTGGCCTCGAACTCACTCTGTAGTCTAGGCTGGCCTCTTAACTCACATCCTCCTCCCTCTGCCTCCCAAGTGCTATAAACATTGTTTTAAATATCAAAGGTGAACTTGTGAAAAGGGTAAGGAAAATCCTCAGGGACAAAAGATGGAGAGGGAATTGAAAACTAAACCCATAAGCTAAAGCTCTGGGTTTCAAAGAGACTTCAGTTTCAACAGTCACCTGGGAGTAGGAGGCTTTCCTACCCTCCTACATAAGGCTGGGTTCCTCAGAAGTACCACGTTACTGAAAAGATGGTCTAGGAAAACGTCTGCCTAGTGGCATAGCAATGTCAAGGAAGTTTGTCTACTCTGTGTGCGTACTGGGTAGGAAAGTTTGAGAATTTGTTAACCTGGGCTTGTCTTCTTGTGAGTTTGGTTTGGAATGTCCCTCTTTTCCTTCTTTGGGTCCAGGAAACCCAAAGCCAAGGAATTAACATATAGACTTGAATTAGTGATATTCCTGTGGTATCAAGCTGAAGCACATGCTAAACTTCTCTATTACGGAATAGCTTCAACCTAGGTGACACAAGTTGTGTACAACTGTAACCATGGTAGGTGTTCTGAGTTTTTTGTTGTTTTGTTTTCTCAATAGACCTTTGAAAAATAGTCATTGAAATTTAACACTCAATGGACAACATTAATAGTAGAATGCATAAATTGTAGTATAGTCACACAATGGAATACTGTTATGGGAGGTGAATAAATTGTTGCTATGCACAAGATCGTGATTGAGTAAAGATAATGCTGAAGGAAGGAAGCCAGACACAAATGATAATACTATGGGCAGGGGAGGGGTGACGGAGAATGAGGGAGGGGTTAATCTAAGATGTATTGTAGGTACATAATGTCACAGTATGTCCCCCTGTACAACTATTACATGATTATAAGACAAACTTAAAAGCTAAAAACCCTAACATAGGTTGCTAGAAGTCATGGTAGTAATCCTTGAGGAAGAGGGAAGAGCTAGTGATTAGGAGGTTGATTAGAAAGGCTTTTAGGGTGTTGGTAACATTGCATTCTTGGCCCTGGTGATAGTTACATGTTTGCTTCATTTTGTGATAATTCATTGAACTTGTGATACTTGCTCAATCTAATAAAAAGCAGGAAAGGAAAATGTGATAAATGTCATAGAAAAGGTAAGATCAATAGTACAAGAAAATATGGTAGAAATAAATCCAAATGTATCAGTAATCACTGAATGTAAATGAACTATACTTACCAGTTAAAAGGCAGATTATCAGGCTGGAGCCATGCCTCAAAGTGACAGAGTGCCCTAAGTTCAAACCCCTTACTGAAAAAAAAAACCTCAAAAAACAAAAAATCCAGATTATCTGTTATAGCATGTTTCCAAGATGGATGACATTAATTTCTTTCTTACATGTGCACCATCCCCCCATCCCATTGAGAGGCGAAGTTTATTCCTCCATTCATCTTGAATCTGGGCTGGCTTTAGTGACTTGATCAATAGGATGTGGCAGGGACTTTGTAGGCTAATTCACGAGAAGTTTTGCAGCTTCTATCTAGGCCTGTTTGAACAATCACTTTTGAAATGCTCTTCCATGTAACACTCAGTGCGGGAGCCTAGCTCCCATGCTAGGTATACAGCCTTAGCCAGATTGAGAAGCTCAGCCGAATTCATAGCCAACAGCTAGCATCAAGTGCCAGCCAAGTGAGTGAGTGAGTGAAGGAATAGTCTTGGACATTCCAGTTGCAACCGAGAAAAACCCAGACACGTAGCCCCAGTATACCCTTCTTCAACCATTGGAGCCACTCTGCTTGAGGCCCCAGATGTCATGGAGTAGACAAAGGTGTCTTTGCCATATCCTCTCTGAATTCCTGATCCTTAGAATTGTGAGCATAATAAAATGGTTGTACTTTTATGCTATTAAGCTTTGGAGTAGTTTGTCGTAATAGATAACTGAAACAGAACTTGTATTTGGAGATGAGTGCTGCCATAATCTAAATTCTGTTGGTTTTGGGATTTGGTGAAGATAAAGGGACCTTGAGAAAACTGTTAGTGAAGGCTTGAAACATAGTGAGAATGATGTTACTAGAGGCTGAGAAAAGAGGGAACCTTTATTTATATAGTGGTAAATTTACTGAAACCATCATGTGTGATAACCAGGAAGATAGAAAACAGAATGAATTCATTCCAAGGAGATTTCTAGGCAAAATGTTGAAAAGTGCTACCTAGCTTTTGCTAGCTGCCTATGATAAGCTACAAACAGATAAAGGGTAAAAAATTAACTATTAAGAGGAAATACTTCTATTCCAGGATTGATTGTTTTAGAAAATAAAACTTCAGGGCTGGAATGTGTGGCTCAAGTGATACAGTGCTACATAGCCCTGAGTTCAAACTCCAGTACTACCAGAAAAAAAGAAAATTTTTAATCATCCCTGATTGCTTCAAGTAGCCAATGACTTACAGCAAAAATAAAATTCAAGGTGACTGAATTTTAACATGACTTCAGGTAAAGATCTGAAGGGAGCAACTGTAAATCCCTTTGCTAAGACTTCAGAAAGATTGAAGGCAAGACTTCATAGAACCTTTCCATTAGATAAAAGAATGTCTAAAAATCTTTAGGGAATACCTTAGTTTCATTCTTAGGCAAGAGGTCTAGGAATTTTAAGGTTATTTTCTCACACAGGGCTTGAGATAGTGGGTATAGTTTTTGTATACTGGAGCTCTGTCCACAATAAGATTCGTTGGAAAGCCACAAGGCTTTTAAGAAATTGCACATTTATCATGTTATCTAAAAAGGAAGGATAACTGAGTTCAAATCCAAGAGGTATAGAGAACTACCCTCAGGGAGTCAAACTTGGTTATAGTGAGAAACTGGTGACATGTGTCTGATTAAATTTCAGAATTGAATAGGCAGTAACTGCTATGTATCTCCTGTTCATTCCCACTTTTTCTCACATTTTGAATGGGAGTGTCTGTTACAGTTATTCTGAGTCAACCTCAGTATTGTGTGCTTGTGTATTGGGTGTGTGGGAGCAGATAATTTGTCTCTTTAATTCAGATCAAGAGGAACTATACTCCAGTAGCTGTACCTGAGGAACTGCATCTGAGGAACGCCAACTACACCTGGACCTGATTTAGATATCAAGATTCTGGACATCAAGCTGATGCCATAATGAGATGAGAATTTTGAAGTCTTAGGAGAGGGTGAGTGTATTTTGCATGTGGGAGGGAGTTGTTGGGACCAGAGGGTGGTCTATGGTAGCTTGATTCCAAAGTGGCTACCATTAGTTTCTTCCCTTCTTTCCATTCAGAGGTGGAGTCTTTTTCTCTCCTTTTGAATCTGGAGTGGCTTTAGTGACTTGCTTAACTAATAGAATGATTTTTATGGGACTTCTGAGGGTAGGTCATAGCCTTTGACTCTTGGAATTTTCTCCCTTGGAATACTTACTCTCAGAACCCAGCCACCATGTTGTGAGAAGCCCAAGTCAGATGGAGAGGATACATGTAGACACTTGTTGATAACCCTAGCAAACAGCCAGCATCAACTCACTGTCAGCCACATGAATGAATGAAGGAGTCACATTAGACACTATGGCCTAGCAGATACCATCTGTACAAGTACAAAGGTCTCAGACCTGTGGTCCCTGTTAAGATATTCCAGCCATCTTCATTCAAGTGACCCCACCTGAAATTCCATACTTTGTGAATCAGAGCAAGCTGTCTCTGCTGTGTCCTGCCAGAATTTCTGGCCCACAGAATCATGAGAATAAAAGAATGATTGTTGTTTAACACCACTAAGTTTTGGGGTAGTTTTTTTTTTAAGGAAGGTATTACTTATTTTAGCTCACTGTAGTTCTTTTATGTAATAGTAAATAACTGGGACATTGTCAGACTGAATAGAAAAGAATCCAGTTCTGTGATGTTGGTAAGAGACATATCTAAAATGTAAGGAATCAGAGATTGGAAATAAAGGTATTGAAAAATGTATTCTGAAAACAGCTTGTAGAGCGAACTAATAGTAGAAAAAATTAATTTGAAGGCAAAAATCATTACTAGAGTTAAGTATTATCAGAAAAAAATTCTAAAAGAAATAGATAAGAAGCTATAATTCCAAATTAATATGCATGCAATGGTATGGCCTCAAAATATATAGATAGAATTCAAAATACATAGGTTAGCTGGGTATGGTGTCACATGTCTGTAGTCCCAACTACCTGGAAACAAGGCAGGAGGATTGCTTGAGCCTAGGAGTTTGAAGCTAGCTTGGAAGACGTAGTAATACCCCATCTCAAAAAAGAGAAAATGATATCTATAATATGGGAATAGATTAATAAGTTTATAGAGTGGGAAATTTTAATTTATCTTTCTCAGCAATTGATGGCCAATGTTTGACAAAAAAATTTGAGCAGTATATCAAAGACTTGAACAACCAACAAGCTTCATTTGGTGGGCATGTACAGAGCCTGGCACCTAATAGATGAAGATAGACTTTCTTTTTAGGTACTTTTTAAAAAGTATTGAACACGTGCTGAATTTGTAGTAAGATTCAGGAAAATCAATGACTGGGTTTATGCAGACTATGTTTTCTTAGTCAGCTAATATTAAAGTTGAATAATAGAATAAAATGACTATGTATTTGGAAATTTAAAATCACACATCTAAGTAACTCACAGGTCAAAGAAGAAATAATAGAAATTAGAAGTAAAGCTGAATGATAATATAAATAAAATATATCAAAACTATGGGTTATAACTAAAGCGGTGGTTAGAGGGAAGTTTACAGCCTTACATTCTTATATTAGAAATAAAAGAGGCTCATTAATTTTTAGTGTAAGTATTTGACTAAAAAGTTATGAAGAGGAATGAAGAAGACCAAGAAAAGTATAAGGAAGAAATAATGAAAATAAGAACAGAGCTGGGCATGGTGGTGCATACTTATAATTCCAGCACTTAATAGACTGAGGCAGGAGGATTGTGAGTTTTTTTGTTTTGTTTTTGAGGTAGGAGCTCACTATATAGACCAGCCTGGTGTCCAATTCATAATTCTTTTATGTACCTCTCTAGTGCTGGGATTATAGATGTGTACCACCATGCCTAGCTAGCAGTGTGGGAAGGGAGGGAGGAAGGAAGTGAGGAAGGAGGTGAGAGAAGAAAGAAGGAAGGAAGGAAGGAAGAAAGAAAGAAAGAAGAGAATGTAACATAACTAAAGATGTAATAGGATCCAAAAGAAAAAAAAAGTGAAGGCACAGATACTACTACTAGGATTAAACAAGAGGATATATCTCTAGATACATCATAGACTGTGAAACAACACGCATAGTATTCTCAAGTGTGTGCAACTAAATTGGAAAACTTATATAACAAGAATAACTGTGAAAATATAAATAACTTTCCAAATTGACTCAAGAAGGAATAAAATCTGAAGACCTATAATTCATTAAATATATTGCATTAGTAAGCAGGAATGTTCCCAAGAAAAAAGAGGCACAGTGGAATTTTAAAAAGTTTTATAAAGGTATGATTGTCGTAGTAAAACCTGCATGTATTTAAAGTGTACAATTTAGAATTTTCTTATACTTTAGGAAAGTTTAACATGTATACAGCTGTGAAACTGTCATTACAATTAAGATAAAGAACATGTTCATTACCTCAAGTCTCTTCTGCCCCTTTCTATTACCCAGCCTCATCCCTGGGCAGTCACTGGTCTACTTCATGTTATAGTAAGTGACATTTTCCTGATTTTTATATTATTGGAATAATGCAGTATATACTCTTTAGGGGGGAGGTGCATGGCAGTTCTGACTTCTTTCACATAGTATCACTATTTTGAAATTCATCCATGTCAAGTGATCAAAAGTTCATTCCTTTTCATTACTTTTTAGTAATGTCGCTAGACCACACTTTCTTTATTCATTCACATGTTGACAGACATTTGGGTTATTTCTAGTATGGGGCTGTTATAAATAATGCTGTTATGAACAGTTGTATAGGAGTATTTGTAGACATATGTTTTCATTCCTTTTTATTAAATTCTAGGGGTGTAGTGGTTGGATCACATAAATGTGTGTTTAACTTTTAAGAAATTGCCAGTTTTCCAAAGTGGTTTTACATTCCCATTGAGTAAGGAATCAAGCTAGGTAAAGGTTTTCCCACTGGGCCAGACCCCCAGTCCTATTCAAATCTTTTGACCATTTTAGTTTGTTTATTGTTTGCAGTGCTGGGGGCGGAACCCAGGGCCTCACTGATGCTACACCCTATCCCTAATCATTTTCAATTGGTTTTGTTTTCTAATTATTTAGTTTTGAGAGTTCTTTATATATTCTGAATATAAGTACTTTATCAGTACATGATTAGCAAATGTTCCCTCTCAGCCTGTGGCTTATTTTTTTACTGTCTTTACAATGCCTTTTAAAAAACAAAAGCTTTTCATTTCGATCAAGTCCAACTTATCAGTTTGCTCTTTTATGACTCTATTTTTGGTGTCATGTCTAAGAAATTTTTGTCCAATCCAAGGTTAAAAGGTTTTCTCGTAAATTTTGTGGAAGATATATATTTTTTACATTTTTATTTTGTTTTACATTTGTGCTGGTGGTCTATTTCAGTTAATTTTTCTATATAGTACTAAGTTTGTGACTTAGTACTTCAAGTCTTTTTTTTTTTTTTTCCCCATATGGATATCTAATTGTTGCAGAGCTGCCTTTGCATTTCCGTTGAAAATCAGTTTCCTACATGTGTGGACTAATTTCTCTACTTTCTATTCTGCTCCATTGATCTCTTTGTCTAACTAGATACCACTACCACACTATTTGATAACTGTAGCTTTTATGTCTTAAAAACTGGTAGTATTAGTCTTTTAGCTTTGGTTTTCCTTTTTCAGAGTTGTTTTGGTGCGCTGAGTTTTTCATAGTTCGATGTGAAATGCGAATCAGTTTGTCAGTTACTATGAAAAAGATGGTAGAATTTTTAAACTGGAATTGTGTTGACTCATGTTTGGGAAGAATTGGTAGTTTAATAATGAATCTTTTGAACATGAATGACCTATCTTTTTATTTATCCATTTATTTTTATTCATTTATCCATATCTTTTAATTTATCCATTTATTATGGACATCTTTAATTTTTCTCAGGTGTGTTTGATAGTTTTTAATGTGCAAGTTTTGCCATTTTTTGTTTACTTATTGCAGAGTATTTAATATTTTTGATATTATTATAGCTAGTATTTAAAAATTTCACTGTGGTTGCTCTTTGCTAATATACGGAAATACGAAGTGATTTTTGTAAAATGATCTTGAATTCTTTAACCTTGCAACATTTTTATATTAGTAGCATTTTTAGATTTTGTCAGATTTTCAGCTGAGACAGTCAAGTCATCTGTAAGTAAAGACAGTTTTACTTCTCTTTTTCAAGTCTAAATGCCTTTTAAGTCTTTTTCTTTTTGTATTGTCTAGAGCATCCCACACAGTGTTGAATAGAAGTGGTAAGAGTAGATACGCCCTGTTTCTACTTAGGGAAAAGTACTCAGTCTTTTACCATTAAATAGGATGTTAATTATTGTTGCTGTTATTTGTTTTGTTTTCTCAATTTCCTTTATCAAGCTTTCTTATAATCCTAGATTTCTGTTGTTTTTAATTAGGAATGGATGATTGTTTTTGTTAGTGCTTTTTCTGCATCTATTGAAATGCTCTTTGTGGTTTTTTTTATTTTTAGTTTGTTAGCAAGATAAATTACATTAATTCCTTTTCTATTGTTAAACCAACCTTGCATTTTTAGGATAAATTACACTTGATTGTGAAGTATTATTATTTTTTATATGTCACTAGACTTGATTTGCTAACATTTTTAAAGGATTTTTTTTACTTGTTTATGACAGCTAGGTATTGATGGCCAATGTTCTAGTTATGTCTTCGTGAGGTATTGATATTAGGATAATGTTGGCATAAAATGGATTACGGAAATACCCCTCTTTTTCATTGTTCCAAAAGAGTTTGTATAAATTTCCATTCTAATCTTTATTATTTTCTTTTTTATGCTTATTTTGGGTTTTATTAGCTTTTCTTTTTCTAGATTCTTAAGGTAAAGCTGAAATCTTTTATTTGAGACCTTTTTGTTTTGTTTTTTAAGGACAGGGTTTTTGCTATGTATTTAATTTATTTATTTTTCCTGTGGTACTGGGGATTGAATCTAGTGGGCCTCTGGCTTGCTGAGCAAATGCTCTATGATTTGAGCTACACCTCCCCTAGCCCTTTTGTCTTTGTTTTCGAGATAGGGTTTCACTAGCTTTGACTGGGCTGGCCTTGAACTCTTGATCCTCCTGCCTCCCAAGTAGCTGGGATTATTGGCTACTACTAATGGGATTACCATACCCAGCTGAGGTTATAATTTCCTTCTTAAGTGCTGGTTAGTGACATTTCTTAGATTTTTATAGGTTGTATTTTCATAATTTATTTCAAAGCACTTCTTTGGTCTGTGAGTTATATATGTGTGTATTCTTTACTTTCCTAGTCTTCGGAGGTTTATAAGTATTTTTCTTTTATTGATTCCTGAATTAGGACTGGGCATGTATGTCAGTGGTAGAATACTTGCTTAGCATGTCCAAGGACCTAAATTCCATCCCTTAGGCACCACAAAAATGAAAACTAAACTGATTCCTAATGTAATTCCATTATGGCTAAAGAACTTACTCTGTATGACTTGAGTTCTTCTAAATTTATTAGCTTTGATTGATGGTGCAGAATATGACTTGTCTTGATAAATTTTTGGGTATTCATTTGAAAAGAATATATATTTTCCTGTTATTGGTGTAGTTTTTCTTGTGTTTTTTGTTCTTGGATCTGTGGGTTTATTGTTTTTATCAAATTTGGGAAAATCTGACTTGTTATTTCTTCAGATTTTTTTTGTTTCTCCTATCTGCTCTTTCTTTTCTTTTTTTTTAAGGCCATTGACTTTATTGATCTAAAAAAAACTTTATAAGGACAGTGTCTGTTCTGCCAAAAAAAAGGAGCAATACTTCTTGTACTATAAGCCCTGAGGTTTGAACTCAGCATCACTATCTTGTTTCATATTAGCTTCCAAATAGCATCAGGTGGTCATTTTTTGTTTTTACTTTAAAAACAGTCCATCTGTCTGATTTGATTTGATATTGTGACCTTAGGGAAAAAACATCTCAGGACTAGAATAAAGAAAGTTTTTACATCCTGAGGCTTTAAAAAACAAAATGAAGATCCAAATTTTTTTCAATTTAATATCTTTAAATCCTACAATGGAGTCATTTTTTTTAAAAGGAAGCACTGCCCTTTAGCCTAGTTAATGAATAATTTGAGTTCTGTTTTATTATAAATAATTGATTTCTAAGATTTCTTAGGGTAGAAAGATTGTGTTCTAGCTGAACAACTTAGTGGAAGTGATATGGCTGTAAATTCTGTTAGGGGAAATAGTAAAGAAAAGTAAGATATGGGATTGATTTTTGAGTAGAGTGATTCTGCAGTTAAGATGAGGGAATTTGTTGGTCTTCTCAGATAGGAAGTAGAGTCAACTGACAAGAGTGAAGAATAGGAAAAAACGACCTTTAGATGGTATAGAAAAAGCTTAAAATAATTAGGGGCCATTCTGAGCTAGGATAAAGAATTCTGGGGGGCTGGTTGCAGTGGCTCGTGTCTATAATTACAACTATATGGGAGATGATGATCAGGAGGATGGCAGTTTGAAGTCAGCCCTGGCAAAAAATTCATTAGACCCCATCTCAACAAATAAGCCAGAAATGGGGTATGCATCTGTAGTCCCAGCTATGCAGGAGGCATAATCAGGAGGATTACAAATTGAGGTTACCCCCAGGCAAAAACATCAGAC